GGTTAGGGGGAGGGGGGGGGAGCAGGGGGGTATGTGCAGAAAAAATAAAAAAAATAGTAAAAAAAATTTTTCTTTTTTTGGTGGCGGGGGGAGGGGGTGTGGGGAGGGGGTGCAGAAAAACGAAAAAAACAGAAATTTAAAAATTACAAAGAAAAGGGAAAAAAAAACTTTTTTTGTGTGTGGTGGGGGGGGGGGGGGTTGGAGTTTGGCGGGGATAGCAGGGTAGGTGGTGACGGAAAAAAAAACTGAAATTTAAAAAAAAAGATCCTTTTTGGAGAGAGAGGTGGGGTGGGGCTTTGGTGGGTGGGTGTGGGGGTGGATTGGGGGATAGGGTGGGGAAGGTTGAGAAGGAGTTTTGGAAAATGTTTTCCCAAAACATTTTCCTCCAATTAAAGGAAAATGAGTTGATAAGGAAAATGTTTTCCAAAATATTTAAGCAAACCAAACATGGGAAAATTGGAAAATATTTTCCTTCATACCAAACACACCCTTAGTATCATAAATTTGTTCATTCCCAAGACTTGAACTCAAAATTTAATTAAGGGCGAAGGGATCATATCTATTCTTTCACAATGGATGATCACTTCTGAATTTCACACATTTGCAAAGTGTGATTTCTTAATTTAGAGTTGTTCTAAATTTAGCAAATATTAATGTAAGAATGTCTTAACATATTCTCGAACATAATTATGGGATCGTGAAACTTCATGATTTTCAAAAAAATGTACATCATGTTAGAGTTTTAATTGAAAAAACATACACCAATAAATGTTATTGGAAAATGTACATCATTCTTGTTACAAAACTTAGCTCAAAATAATAATATAAAACAAGAAAATAGACAAGAATATAGGGAGCAAGAGAGAAGAGATTTTTTATTTCTTCCATTTATTCAAGTGTATTACAAAATGAGTTCTCATCCTATATTTATAGTACAACATAGACGTATACCAAAAGAATTCCATAAGTATGCCATTAAGCATTTGAGATCATGGAGGAAGATCATGGGTAGGTTATGAAGGTGAGGGAGTTACAACAATAATGGTGAGAAGTAGTGGGGGTTATCTACATAATAGAGAAGAGTAGTGGGAGTTATATTTGATTAGTGGACATCCATATAAATATGTATTTCATAACACTCCCCCTTGGATGTCCATAGATAATGTGCCTCGTTAAAACCTTACTAAGAAAAAAACATGGAGGAAAAAATCTTAGTGAAGGAAAAAGAATACACATATCTTGTAATACGCATTACTTGCTGCCTCATTAAAAACCTTGCCAGGAAAACCCAGTGGGATAAAACCTTAGCTAAGGAAAAAAGAGTACAGCGCGTATTTTCCTCCCCCTGATGAAAATATCACTTTATTTCTCGGAGACGCCGAATTCCAAGCTTGTATAACAACTTCTCTAATATTGAGATCTGCAATGCCTTCATGAATTATTCCGCCAAATTATCACTTGAAGGAATTTCTTGAACATCTATTTCATCATTCTATTGAATATCGTCTCTGCAAATAAACTTTGGCTAAATGTGCTTTATTTTGTCTTCTTCAATATATCGTTCTTTTAATTGAGCTATGCAAGCATCATCGTCTTCAATATTATTGGAATCGTCTCTTCAAAGAAAAGTCACACGTCCTCACATGGAAATAGATTGTTTGAACAACGAACTATGTCCTGCATTTGTATAACCAACAAAACCTTGACAATATTTGTTAGAATAAACAAATCTATATCAAGGATTCCTTTTGCAATATAATATTAATCATATTTCAATATCTCCATATAGCCTTTATACTTTCAGTTGTTGGGACTATTCGTCCAACTTCATATTTTTTAGATGAAGTCAATTTTCATTGCATATTTTTCATTTGGCCAGTCATTTATCTGTCCAAATTCCGTGACAGATTTGAGCTCAAGATCCTCGTCAATATTAATAATATTGAGCGCTACATTATATTAACAACATCGTC